CTTCCTCCCATCTACACACCCTAGAAAGAAAAATAAATTAATATTTGATGATTTTGATATTGTTCATGAGCAAAGAGCGAGTCATCAGTCGAACATTAACTCACGTCTCACGGCCTAAAACCTATAATAATAATAATAATAATAATAATAATAATAATAATATTTATATTAATAATAATAGAAATAATAATAATAATAGTAATAATAATAATAAAATCGTAATGGAAGTATTACGCTTATGCTTACCGTCAAAGCCAGCTGCTTGTTTGGTTGTGGGCTAGTTTAGTGGATAGAAGTGATTTAAGAAAATTAATGAGATTATAGATGACGGACCAATCGTGTATGGTGTTCTTTCCGCCATCCAGTCGATTATTTTCATATGAATCAGCAAAAGGAACCAATGAATTAAGGAATCGAAGGTCTCGTCTCACTGCCAGTGATCATTAGAGGTACAGCAGTGGTGGAGGCAACATGTGTGTGTGTGGTCATACAGTATTTGATCGCTATTTCCATGTTTTACGTTTGCTGTTTGTGGATTACTCGTGTTTGTGGCGTCGTGAGGACTTCCAGACTCTACGTTGTGCATGGTTATTAGCAGTTATGAAGGTAAGGTGATAACAAGTTGTGTTGTTGCTGTGGGGTCCTGGGGAGGAGAGGCGTAGTGGCTCCCGCCGTGTGTACAGGAGTTGTGATGCCGTGGCTGACAGAAAATACTGATATTAAGATGGCTATTAACCTAAGCTAGTATGTGTATAGACAGATAATTGCTATTAAGATGGCTATTAACCAGTAGATGTGGGCAGAGACAGATGCTATTAAGATGGCTATTAAACAAAGTTAGCATGTGGATAGATAGATACTGCCATTAAAATGGCTACTAAACTAAGTTAATATGTGGATATATGAATAAAATCTAGAATTAGCATCGGTACATTGTTGTTGCAGTGCGGGTACTATCCACCTGCACTGGGACCTTGATTTTGTTTGAATTTATTGCGTTAAAATCTTACATACATACATACATGCATACATGCATACATACATGAGGGTTATTGGCCTGGTTATTTCATGTTAAACACCTTGTTCAGTTGAAGTTTTGTTAGGTAAGAGTGGTAGGTATCGTCACGGGCCCATATATGTCATGAAGTAAATTATGTAATGGGATCACTAACACATTTCCAATATAATTATTTGCCCTGATAGTGTAAATACCTCGCGTCACTTCGATCAATTCAATTCAATTTCAATTGTTTATTCCTTGATAGAGAAGCGGGATCCTAGTGCTGTCACTAGTACCCTACAATAACACCAGAAGCATCTGGCAAGTGTACAAGTATATACAGAATAAATATTATAAAGGGCTTACTAAAGCCTAAGGAAGGAAGGATATTCCTTAACACATAATCAATGTTATTTAAATAATATCTGGCCAGTATGGGGATGATCATCGTGTTCCGTCAGGGGTCGTGGAGTGGTGGTCCAGCAGGGTTCACGGATGGT